TACAAATTTACAAGCCCAAAAGGGATGTAGTATCCAGTAAGCAATGTAAACATATACTTACTTGCATTTACTAATCTTTTAATTTGCTAAGCTTTAGTGAATAGCACATGCTATTTACCAATGCTTGGAATTGTTCATTACAAATGTGTAAGCAAGCACAAACAGGCCACTGCTTTGTTTGTTTACTGGATAATTCATCACTGTCTGTAACTGACTATTCTTTTATAAACTATCCTTTTATAGATTTGCTTTCCATTCCTAACTTGTTTGTTTAATCAATATTGTAAAAAGCTGATCCATCTTTTACTCTATTCAATGAAAATGCTTTATCTTCATTTGTATTAGTATTTTTACTTTTTAAAATTCATTAACATTGTTATTTCCTAGTTTATTTTGTAGTATTTTTTCTAGTATCTAAGAGAAATACTTTTCTTTTTCACTTTCTTTTTTTACAGAAAACATTTAAGCCTATAACTTTCTTATATGTAAGGTATATTTTTCTGTGTGTGATAGAATTTAAGTATAATTCATTTCCAGATGGTTTGAAATTCTAGTTTTAATTTCCTCTGATTTTAGGGTTATCTAAGAATGCCAGTAATTTTCAAATCCTTACAATATTAAAGGAGACAATTCTATTTTTCAAAAGGTTAAGTTCAATAGAGCTTCAAGTTGATTACCTTAATCTACCTCTGTGTTCCTATTTTCTATCTATAGACCTCGCTAGTTCTGACATAAATAAACTGTAACCTCCAATAACTGTATTTCATTTAGTTCTCCTAGTTTGTTTTATGAATTACAGTACAAATGAGTTTAGTATTTATATATAAAACATCGTATTATAAAGAAAATTACAACTAAGACCCTGCTAACAAAGAAACAGAACATCATGGCTCTCCTTGAAGTCTACTACATACTCACTCCTTGAAAATAAAGCTTTTCTCCTAGTAGCTATTATGCTAGATACTGAATTAATTAGTCACTTCCTTTTCTTAATATTGCTTTTGAAACCACTTATTTGTGCTTTGCTCAGCAAAATACTGTTCAGTTTTACCTCATTTTGAAATTTAAATAAAATTATATTGAACACTTCCTGTGTGACATGGTTCTTCTTCACCCTCATCTTCACATTGTTAAGATATTGCCCTGGATGTGCTCACCAAGCTGTGCCAAGAAATCTGGAGAACAA